CAATGGATGTGTCTCTTTTATATCGATGTTTCTCTCCCCGCCCCCCCCCCACTCTCTCTGAAAAAGCAATGGAAAAAATAACCAGAGGTGAGGATTAAAAAAATTTTTGTGGGTTTAAATACCAAAGATTATGACCACCACTGCCGCCTCATTAACAAACAGAAGCAATACTAAATTATAAAATATTACCAAGTTCTAATTCTTCCTCATAACTATATTGGTACTTTTTCGAGACGTTTAATTTTTTTAAAAGTTTTTTGTTTTGCGTGTGTCTGTTTTAATCCTGGTATTTTTCCCATTGCTTTTCAGAGAGAGTGGAGGGGAGGGCGAGGGGGAGAGAGAGAGAAGTGAGAGAAACACCGATGTGAAAGAGATACATCAATTGGCTGCCAGTGGCATGTGCCCAAATTAGGGGCCAGGATCAAACCTGCAACCCCGGTACGTGCCCTTGGCCTCTACTCGAACCCGCGGCCCTCCCACCACTGAGCCACCCGGCCAGGGCTGTGTGTGGTTTTTAACGTCGTTGCTGCCCCCAGACTCGTAAACCGGAAGCCCACGCGGCCAGGTTGGGTTGGTTGGGGAGAAGCGTGGGTCTCGAGTGTCCCTCCAGCCCAGGCTGTCAACACACAGGGAAAGCCGCGCGAGCGAGCCCAGAGCACCGGGCAGGGGCGAGCGAAGATCCTAGAATCCTAGATCGAGATCCTAGAACGGGTCTAAGCCAAGATCCCAAGAGGATCCCAGGACAAGCCCAGAGAAGCTCGCACAGCAAGGCGGGTCCAGTGTCCCCGGAGAGGCTGCAGCGCACAACGAAAACCGCAAACGCCCCAGCCTGCACCGGCCCCTGGACAGCGGAGGCCAGGCCCCGAAACTCACCNCGAGGGGTGGGCTCAGGCGTGCCCCTGGGTCCAAAAAAAGGGGGAACCAGCGTATGGGAGAACCCGGAGGCGACCCAGGACTGGACAGGGGTGGGGAGAAGGCCCCTAAGAAGGAGACCTCATCGGTACCCGGGCAGGCCAGCCGCAGGGGCAGGCAGGGGCGTGGCCATGGCGCAGGGAACGGGCCCGGCCGGGGGTCCGAGGCCCGAGGGTGAAGCAGAGGCAGGGACCCGCAGGAACGGGCGGCCGGTCAGACCGCCGCGGGCTGCGGGCCCAGGAAGCGCAGGGCCAGCGCGAGCAGGCCGAGCAGCAGCAGCAGCC